CAGGCTTAGTAACTAAGCTGTATTAGGGTCTAAAAATATGAAATTTTGAGCAGACTAAAGACACAACCTACCTCCTTGAGATCTTGATTTGAAAGAACGAGATAGTGTCTTAACACGTGAAAATGGCTGAGAATGCCACTAGGGAGACATTATGAGCTTTCAATTGGTTATTCACCTGTCATATATTGAAGTAAGTGTATTTAAAGGAGCGTTTTCAAAAATAGAAAGAGGTGAGTGAGGCCACTGTGTTTGATTCATCACATGAACATTATCTTAGCAAAGAGAAAAGATAAGACCTTCTTATTTTATATTCTAGCTTGTCAATATCGGTAATATGAGTTCCTAATTCATATGAAACTATAGACTTGGTATTTTGACTTCACAAACATCTAATTTGAACCAGTGCTGCATTCAACATACCATGTGACACACAAAAATTGATGTTTAACTGTTTATATTTACTTTTAAATTAAGAAATTAATCTACAGTTTGATACCAAACTTATTGACATAAATTAATGAAATAGTAGTTCAATAACATTTTGAATGTGAGTCAGCAAACGCGATGACATGGCCTTTGACCCGTGACTTGTCTGGAAAGGGTTGAGAGAAAGCTTGATAACTATATGAATGATAAGGGCTGGCTTTAAGATTTTTTTAAACTTATAATAATTAGTATAGAGAATGGGACAGCCAAGATGAATCAATATGTCTCTTGTTGTTCCTAAACATTAGGTTATGCATGTGGTTGAAGTGGCTTCGAACTTTGTATTCGTAGTGACAGTTTTGTTTTTACTACATCTCCCTCCCTCTGGCGAAAATTTGAGCATAATGGGTCACCAGTGATAAATTTGATGAATAGCATTATCAAACTTTTGGTTTCCAAACTCTTGGTAAAACCAATCAAATCACTGAGACACTACACACTTATCCGTACATTTCCATCTAAGTATACATAATATAGATATAAACCTATCAGTACGCTCAATCCAATCACCTCGCAGAGAGTATGTCAGTACCAATTTTGTGAACTAGTTGCTATTGAAAGTTTATATTTAAATAAAGAAGAAAATATCTGACTGCATAATTGGGTTAATTGTTATCAGTGGATTATGGAAAAGTGTATGTGATTGGGAAAGGTGTCTTTTTGAGCGAATTGTTTGTCATAGGAAGTAGTTATTAATTATGCAAGGTATATACCATTAAGTAGTATAATTTTAAATTGTTGTTACTCATTATTTACTGATATAATGGCATTTGAACTGCAGTCTTATAAAACTTAGATATTCCTGTCTGTAATGATATTAACTATTCTTCATTTCCTCAGAGTTTCTAGAAAACTTGTTAGGCATAAAACCTTTGAAGAATGAAAAGCCAATCAAGTTTCACATAGTTTTGAATCAGAATTACTTCAGTTCGTATGTGAAAGATACTAAGGGATTTTGGCTTTTGTAAAGATGAAAAAAGCTGTTTCAGCTCATGGGCATGAAAACTTCATAATTTTCACCATTCAAAATATAAGTTAAAAAAGAAAGAAAGAAAATGTAGTTAAATTAGAAAATAGTTTTATATTATTTTAAGTGAAGAGAGATTTTTTTGCTATTTGAATCAATAAAATCAAATCTTTAAAATTCTTTAAAAAATTTAGATACAAAATACATTATTTAATACTTCAAATAGCATTTATGTGTGTGTGTACATGTACACGCACACGTATAATGGAAATAATTAACTCTTAAATAAACCTTTCCTTTATTAAATGGTGTTTTTATGTTTTAAATGCCTCTCCCTTTTGGCACATGGAGATAGAAATTATTTTCCCTGTTTTGGGAGTCTAGCTTGACCTCTGTTGTGAATTTTCCAAATTTTTTCTGGTCATAATACAGGATTTTTAGGCCATTACAAGGAGAGTTCAAATGGTTTTGAACAAAATAATGCTAGTTTGAATACTGTAACTTCAATACAAGTGTAAGTTTTATCTTTTAGACAATCGCTGTTTCTCAATTTTGGTTGTCATGAGAAATTGTAGAATAGTGGTCATAACATGTTGTTACGACAGCGGAAGTCACGTGATGCTAGTAACACGTCATGAGCTTCTAGAAAATTCATGTCCATTCGTGAAGCCTCGAGTATTTAATAGATGTTTGGTATTCTTGTATATAAGACTGCCAAGAAGTGACAGCAACAATGGCAGAGATAGAGAAGACAATTGAGTCAAGCACGTGAATTGTTCATTTGTTGTGAATTATAGCGTGACTGTGGAAATTAAGTGTATTGCAAAGTTGTATTGAGAAAGAATAAACTAGTTTTATTTAAGAAAGGACTTTTATCTCTAAAGTTTCTTCGGAAAGAATTTTTACGGAAAATTAACAAACAAACAAAGACGTAATAATATAATGAAAGCTCTTGTGAAATATGTTCAAATTTACAGTACTGGTTCTTATCTTATACTTCATCAAATTATGATATTGGAGTATGTTAGGAAAACAAATATATTTCCTGGAACAGGTTTTATAATCATGTAGGAAGACAGAAATCATTAATTAAAATCTACAACAAATGTAGGCATTTTTAATTGTTTCTTTAAAGAAACATCACAGTGAAATATTTTTGAATTTATGAAGCAGTAATTCATACAGATATCATGTATAGAAATATCTGTTACTTACAGAGCTTCCCTCAAGTTTTAAATTATTTATACCCACCCTCTTTTTTTCTGCTGTGGAATAATATAAATCCTACAATAGATGTGCTAATTTGACATAGGAGTATTTTATAGTTAATTGATGGCAGATACTGATATAAAAATAAGTGTGTGGAAGTGCTACTATAGTAAAGGGGTGACCCTTTATTTTGGATCTACATGTTTGTATTGTGGCAGTTAATTATTTTGAAATCTTTCTAAATTGCAACTTAGTAAAGTGAAAACTTGTTATATTTTAGATGTTACTAAATTGTCAAGGTTGAAGAGAATTCATTATTATTGTTAAAGCAGTGTTCCTTACATTCTAAGTAAATAGTCTTTAATTACATGAATGTATATATTTGTTGTTGTGTGTACTGAGCAAAGTTCATTTGGTGTTTCAAGGTGGTTCAATTTCCTTGATTTAATACTAGTATCAGTTGAGATTTTTAACCATTCTTTTGGTCTTCTTAGAACAACAGTCATTACTGGTTCTGTGTTGCTCTTTTAAGCTAGTTTTTCTACTTAAGATTGCTTTTACAATCAGATATAGATGTGTCCTTGGGATGTAAGTCATGATATATCAACTGGTATGAACACTGTTCTCAGACTTTTATCTTTTTAAGCTAAAACCAACTATTTCATTCTTTTGATCACATTACTAAGTTTTATTAGAGAAATTAATTGCTGTAAACTCTCAAATAGGTGATCCAGCATCTCAATCTACTCCAATCAAATGGAAAGAAGGAATGGACCTAACCAAGAAACAGAAGGAAAGACAGGCATTGATGAAGAATAATCGTAAAAGGGCTCTTGAACAACCACGAACATTTTTCTCTTGGTTCACAGATCATGGGGATGCTTCAGCTGATGACATTGCTGAGGTTAGTTAACCTCAATGTGCATTTTTCTAAAGATATAAGTAGATTTATCTGTATTGTTTCTGCTATGTGTATATATATATTAACTTTTTTTTAAGTAATAATATTTTTGTGATAATTACACCGTAAATCAAATTATTAACCCAACATTTACTGTTTTGTTTATTTGGTGTCTAACAGCTACACAGAACAAGTTTATCCTAATTTCTTAATGTTGACAGAATAAAATTTGATTTACCAAAGTCTTTTTCAGTGTCTCTCTCTCTCTCTCTTTTTTAATCATTAAGCTTTTGACACTGAATATAAGTTTGTTTTTTTAACCAGTTACAAAAGGCATAATGGATGTTTGTTTTTTTTCACTTCAGGTAATTAAAGATGACATGTGGCCAAATCCTCTCCAGTATTTCTTAGTTCCAGACATTGAAGTGGAAGAAAATGGACTTGAAGGAGATGATGATGACAGGTTAGTATTTCACATCTCTATCAAAACACTGAAACTCTTTGAAGTTTAATAGCTATTATTCTACATTAATGTTTCAAATATGAAAGGAATTGAAGCTATGATAAATCTATTTAATGAAATATTAAATGAAGTTTAAAAAATCTGGTTTTCATGATAATTCAGTGAAGAGGAAGAAGTAGATGACTCAATAGTTGTAGTTGAAGAAGAAGGAGAAGGAGATGAGGATGATGAAGATGGAGAAGAAGGTGGTGAGTCCTGTCTTGTGTTTTGTTAATTCTGTGGGTTCAGACTTTTAAAAAATACTAGGATATAATTATGACGAAACACCAAACATAATAACCCTTTAGAAATGTTCATATTTGTACTTAATGTTTTCTGAAAAATATTTTGAATCTTTTATCAAATGAAACCCTCCCAACTTTACAAAAGTGATATCTTCATTTTTATAGACTTTGTTGGGAAATTTTGGTTTCCCACTCTATAAAGCTTTTCAAATTAAAATGTTTTTCTTTTTTACTAAGCTAGTTTACTTTTTTATTCACGTGCTATACAACTGTTGTACTACATTATAAAAATAAGCTGTTTGTGATTCTTTAAAAATTGTATATTGTTAACAAATGTGTTTTAAGTTTAGAAAAACAAGTGCTTCTCATTCATGGAATTAGTCATACACCTTTGTTGTAAACCATTTGTTTTTGATGAATATTTCCGTCTTATTAGAACATTTCAATGTAGAGGTGCAACTGTTTATAAATTATAGAAAGTTGGTGTAAAGTAAATGTTACCCAAAAGAAAACTTTTATTGGATGTAGATACTTCATTTGTTTTGATTAGTTGGGTAAAAATTTGTTAGTAGCAACATAAATGGAATGTCAAGATGAAGTATGCATTGTAAGCTGTTTTCAGATTTTTATAGATGATGGTTATGATTTCTTCAGTTAAACCTCCTAGCTTATAATTAAATAAACTTTACTTGTTTCAAGCTTAAATTTTACTCTTTCTGTTTTTGCATATGTGCACTTTTTAATTATTTGTATCTGTTAACCCTTTCACGATGGGCTCAGTATAAAATACGTGTTTGTATACACGCTTTCATGTGTTAAGTAATTATACTTTTACTTTTAACGCAGTATGTGTATCTTTACAAAATATGATAGACTTTTAGTAAAATTTACAAGTCTTGTACACAAAAAATCAAAATTTTCAATGAAGTATTTTTACTGAAGATTAGTTTGTGAATATATCTGTTTCATTACTAGTCCGAGTGCAAATTGATTTTTGTGTTATGATTTTAAATAAGTATTCTTCATCCCAAAAATCTCAACTATCATTTGTGTAATCTCTACAACCTCATAAATACATATCAAATGCTTGTTTTCAGTAAAACTTTATATTTTGTGTTATTTTCTATACTCTAACTCTATACGGGGTTGGTCCAATTGACCAACTTCGTAACCACCATAAAAATTAGGAAATTAATATAAATTTTACTTTTTTCTTTTTAGAATGACTACATATTATAGCATGAAAACACAAATGTTTAGTCTAATTAGCTTTAATCTCATAACATTATACATTTATACATATTTATTATTTTTATTATATTGACCTTTCAGCTGTGCCTGGCTAACATTACAGAAGTTGAAATGACACGGTGCATGTACACTCAGGTTACCGTATACAAGAATATAAAACTGGCCTTTACAAAGTGACCTGTATTGACTGTGTTTTAGTGGATTAGTAATTTGTAAAGTACAGTGACATAGAGTTATTAAACTTATTTTTCTTAAAACATAGAAGAGTAAATAAAGAAGTATAGCAAACAATTATCTCTTCTAGTTACAAACTTTGTACTCATTTGCTGGAGGGTATGAAATGAAATCATTTCTTTTAGGTTTTAAATATACATTTTGAAGTATCCAAAAATCATAAATTACTATATCAATACCATAGAATTCCACTATAATTTATCAAGCTTAGTAACTAAGCTGTATTTGGGTCTGAAAAAAATATTAAATTTCGAGCTCACTAGTCTTACCTTACTGCTTTGAACCTTGTATAAAAAGAGAATTACATATCCGTATATTTGAAAAAGACTGAGAAAGCCATTAAGGGGACATTCTGAGCTTTTGATTGGTTTTCACATGTCATAGACAGAAGTGTTTCCAAAAATGGAAATAGGTGAGTGTGTGTTTGAGTCAGTACATGTAGCAATATCTCAGCAAATAGAAAAGATAGGAGGTTCTTATTTTATATTCTAGCTTTTAAATACAGATAGTTTGAGTTTCTAATTCTTAAGAAACTATAGGCTTAGTATTTTGATATCACAAACATCTAATTTGAACCTGTGTTGCATTCAACATACCACATGACACGCAAAAATTGATATTTAGGTGTGTTTTTTTTTAATATTTTTTTTAAATTAAGAAATTAAATAATGTATAATACTAAAATTTGAATTATAATATTCAATTTGACATCAAACTTATTGAAATAAATTCATAAAATAATAGTTAAATAAAATTTTTAATGTGAGTCAACAAACACAATGACAAGGCTTTTGACCCGTGTTAATAAAGTTAAGAGAGAAATGGGGTGATTAGTTATATACATGGATGATCACAATATTTTATACATTGTATAACTTTTGTTTATTACAGAAGATGTTGATGATGAAGAAGCATATGAAGAAGGAGAGGATGATGGAGGTATAAATGTTTATTGAGCTATTTTTATATTTTGACGTTGTTGTTAATACATATGTTGAGGTAGCACTGTGGTTGTCTGAATTAATGTAGCTTGTTCTTTTTAAATTTTTCAGATGGGTACATGTTAAGGTGCTTGTTTTTGTCACTTAGAAGGGTGAATTATTAATAAGGAAAAAGCTTCTAATATAAAAACCCTGTAAAATCAATATTTACAATATCATGATATTGTTTGGTATAGATTATATTTGCAATGCTTTATATCTCTTGGCTTGTGAAGTCATCAGTCACAATACAAAGATATATCAAGGAAGAAAATATTCTTTATTGCCATGTGAATGTAGTATCTGGGTAAATTCAATTAATGTATTGATAAAGATGAATTTTTAAGATTATACAATTTGAGCTTAGAATTTGGTTGTAGGTTAGCTGGAGCTTAAAAGCCTGTAAGAAACAATTAATTGTATTTTTCATATGAATCTATACATTTAAAAGATGTATTACTTGTAAAATATGTAGTTAAAATTTCAGTTTGTTGATTTGGAAGATCTCAGAGACCCAAGTCATTCATTTGTGTTCTTTAGTCTCAGAATGTGTTAAATAGTCACTTTGGTATTCCTAAGTTTTTAAAATGTTTTACTTTTGCCGATGTTGCAAGTATCCAGACCTCAGATGTTTGGTAAGTATTGACAGAAGGACATCTGTTTTGTCCTCCTTCCTATTCTTGAGAACTTAATTTATGTTTTCTGTGTATTATATTTAGATAAAACATTAGGTTAAGTCTGTTTTGATCTATAATTGATGTCTTATTTATAGGTAAAGATTTGTACTATAGATTTCAGATAGTTTCAGAAAGCTCTCTATATTGCTTTAGGAGAAGGTGATGAGTGAAGATTTGTCAAGAGTCCAGTTAGATGTTGTACAACCTGTTGCAGTTAATCCCTCACGGACACAGCTCGTAAAATGGCATGACTTTGGAGCCATTGAAACATTCTATCCAGACCTTTTTCATCACATCATAATGTTTCATTTCTTTATCAGAAGAATATTGTTCAAACTTTTATACTGAGATTTCATTTGCAACATTTGTACCTAAACACAAGCAAGCAGCTGAACAGACATAAGCTATGACCAAGACCATTGATTTTACTTTTAGTAGATCAGCTTTTTTCATTGTGAATAGTGGAACTTTGTGATTTATATTTCTTGAATAATTTGTGTGTTTTGGTGGTGTAGATTATTTAAACTTAAATATAAAATAAAAAAAGTGAGTTTGTATGTATAAATGAAATAAGCCAGATTAGTGGTAAAAGAAAAAAATATTCTAGCATAACTAAGACTTGATAAAGTTAAAAGGGTTTAAAAGCTGCTGTGTCTCTTTTTCCTGTTTGTTTTTTTATATAACATTATATACATATTCACCTTTCATAACATGTTAGGTTTTTATTTTTATTGTTATAAGGGGATAGACACTTAGAACCATTGGCTATCAAACTCACTTGTACAGCTACACAAGGATTCTTTCACATGTATGTACCATCAGCAAACTTCACAATTATATGGTCTCCCACCTCATGCAGTAGATCATCCAGGTGAGGGTTAATGCAAACTTTCATGTGCTTGGTTTTAAAGTAATTTTTCTTGTGTTTCTGTGACAGTCTTTGTAACGACACATTTGAAGTAGTGTTAAAAACATTATTGGTGTGGGTGTACAATTTTAGCATAGTAAACCATTTTTCATGTTCAAGTTATTCTTTGATCATTTTGTTCTTCTAGAATGATGTTTGAGGGATTAATGCATACCATAAATTTGCAGTGTGAAGACATTTTTTAATATCATTAATTATCAGAATCCTTTAATGCCAAGAAGATGAAAGTGTTTTTAAGTATTCTTTAGATTTATTCTGTGTACCATGTGTTCTACAGGTTATGAATTACAGCAATTTTTTCAGTCATCAGATTAGAGTTGTTCATTCTTTGTGTGTTTTTCTTACTTCCCTAGTGTCATTTAAATGCATTTTGAGTGATATTTGTTAACATTTTAAGAAAGTGCTCATCCAGAAGGTTACATATGTGGTATTGATTTTAGTAAACTTTGTAGACTTTTTTGCAATGTAGATGATGATAAAACTAGATAGTCTCAAAACACACACTATTCACATTAGATAAATATTTACTACTGGTAATATAACTATGCAGATTAAAGTGTACAAAAGTTTTAGTTAACAGACCACATGTATATAGGATTGTTCTACTGCGAGGCTCATCTAATATAACTTGGTTAGTGTATCTCTGATAAACTGTATTCATAATTTATTTTTAATGTTTAGCTTATCAAACCCAATAGAATTAACATAAGATGATCTGATACAAGTTCTTCTACTTTCACATATTTAATTCAACTTTTTTTTCATAATAATAATGAAATAAACTTCGTTTAGATTCGAAATGTTGATTATAAAAAGAACAATAAACATTTTATAAAAGTATAGAGTAAAAATGTTATGAAAGTTACGTTTTTTTATTAGTGTTAAAAATAGGATCACAGTCTCAGTGTCTGGTATTACACCTTACAAACAATGGTTTGTTTTACAGATAGATACTTAATGATGCATGAAGTGATGGATGAGTTTCAGATATCGAATATTACAATTTCTGAACTTGGTCTGCCTTGCAAGTAATGACATATAATGTGGTATTCAGGTTCACTAATGTTCAAAAGGTTTCTGCAAAATGCAAGATTAGGACTATTAAGCAAAGAATAAATTGAACACAGCAAAGTAAATCACCGAATTGTAGTTTATAGGACAAAAATTCATTACTTGACTCATAAACAAGGTGGTTTGTTTCCTAATCTGTCTGGGATTCTTCTGTTTCCTCTGTCTGCAGGGGTTGACAACTGCAAGAGAAATCATAATCAAGAAAAGGAACTAGAAAAACACGAGACTAAGATTCTCCATGCAAAGTCGAATATGACGAGTTCTCAGGTTATATGTTCAACCAATGGTCTATACATGCTAGGTGTACAGATTTCTGTACTGCATTTTGTATAGAGTACTTTACCAAGAAATTGTAATGAAACGTACACATGCTAGCTTGATACATCAGGAATAAAAAGGGCTAATATGTAGCCTTTAACAGTGTAAAAAGATAAGCATATGCTACGAATTTGAGACATATATAACTGGATAAAGAATTATACTTTACTAATTATAGAAAGTTGAAATTTATGTCGTCACAACCCTTCCCTCCTTTATCTGAGAGGCTATCTTTGCCCTAAATTTTAAAATTGACATAAATGATCAAATCAATGAATTAATAATGTGTTATAAAATGTACTCATTTTCCTCAGGTGACACACACAACACCTAACCAAAGAGGAGAGTTAAAAGAAGATCAGCTGTTAGTTGGAAAAAGAAAAATACAACTCAAATCGGAATCACAATACGGATCAAAAAGTAAATCAAGTCAAAAAATACAATAGTCTTAAAAAGTAAATTATAAAAGTCGTGAACACTAATCAGGTACTACAAAATAATTGCAAAAGAAACAGTTTACAACAAAACTAACGGCAATGTTTGAAACATACTGAGTGTTTTTCCACTAATCATCGTTTCATCCATGGTGGGCGCTATCTCGTCAGCAGTTGCAACGATAAACAATCAAGCGGATCGTTAATTAATTATCAGTCTTTTGACACCAAGAAGATGAAGCTGTTTTTAAGCATTTTGTGTACCACGGGTTATGAATTACAGCATTTTTTCAGTCATCAGATTAGAGTTGCTCATTCTTTGTGTATTTTCTTACTTCCCTAGTGTCATTTGAATGCAATTTGAGTGATATTTGTTAACATTTTAAGAAAGTGCTCATTCAGAAGGTTACACGTAATATTGATTCTAGTAAACTTTGTAGACCTTCTACATGATCAAAAAACTAAATTGTCTCAAAACGCACATTGTTCACGTTAGATGAACTGCAGTGTTTAAGTCTGAGGATGTTTCACCGTGAGCCTTCGAGTGCAGTATTTGTCATGCAATTCACAAAACTGTTTCATTAACAAACTATGGAAGAGTTAGACTAGCTGGTACGGCTTTGTAAGTTGGCTGCACGTATCTAGCAAGATAACTTGCTCAAAAACATAGACGTCTTTCAATATAGTTGGCAGGTGTGATTCTCTCTCAGGCCTGTGGATTAGAAACATTTCTGCTCTTTCCCTCTCTGGGTTGACGTCTCCTAAATGGTGAAAATTGCACCATTTGAACTAAGCACAGTTTCATTTACCACGTGTGATCCAGTCTTTTTTGAAACTTTTCTTCCGTTCCTCTTGCAATTTTATTTTATTTTTGAAGCAAGCTGTTCAACTTCAATTCACAACTCCTGACATGTGTCATCTCTAATTCAGATTTGCAATCTTCAATGATGCATGCTACTGTACTGATGTCCATGTCATTTACATGAAGATATTTGGAGGTCACTGATAGAATTTTGCTTAATGTTACTGGACAAAATCAATAGCTTTACTAATGCTGTTACGCTTCTTTGTCAGATGCACTGTCAAACAGCATTTAATGAATTATCTCTACAACTAGCCTAGTTATAGAAAGTAAACATTTTGTTTGCCAGCTCTGTCTGACCATCTTGATACGCTCGTTGATATAAGAATTTTGATAGAACGGGAATATTTGTTTCAAGTAATGTCTTTGGGTTGAATTTTCCATAAATGTGTATAACATATGCTGTATCATAAATGTATACAGCTATTCAACGACTCGGAAAAAAAGTTTGCGATTCCAAGTATTCTTGCAGCACATTTCAAAAACATAAAGATTTATTCTATGTGCGTAGCAATACACGAAATACGTTTTATCATAAGTTTTTTAGCAGATTACACATCCTTGTCTCCTCATATTGCAGATGCTGAGCTCATGGTGGTCCAGAGTCTCATAGAGATGATTAGTTAAATCTTCTCTGCATAGTCAGAAACTCCTGTATTTCTTCAGTGCTAACGTACCATATTACAGCTGATCTTGCCTGGGAGAATCGGAGGTTGTGCCTAAGCAAATTGAATAGTATATTGCCTGCTTCACTTCCTCAATAATTTTTCTTCGCACATCGCCAGCAACACCACTGATTCAGAAGTTGTAGTGATAGGTAATTTGGAATATCTTTGAGACTCTTCTTTGTTGATTCTAAGTGTTCTTTAAGCACTGGAGTCGTAGCGTGCTTCTGTTGTGGCTATCTATGTAAACATATCTTTTTTTTTTTGCTTGGATTCGTCATGGCGGTCTTAAACGGCCAAGGTTATCTGTGGTGTTTTCCAATCTGCTCTTCCTTTCTTGCGTTTTTAATTATAGTTTGTGATTTATTTGTGTTTATAGCTGTTGATCTCTAGGCTTTGCTGAAGTCACAAACATTTGCCATTTTCTTATGTTGGATGCTTTCTCGTCACTTTCTAGTCTCTGAGCTATTCGAAGGCAAAACCTTTGTCATACTTTATTATTATCATCCTTCGATGACTCAGGGGTGCGCAAGCAGTTAGCGTCCAAAGTATCAATAAAGATGACTTCATGCACCAGAGTTGTATTAATATGCCGTATATATATATTATTTATTTACAATACCCTGAAAAGTCAAAGACGCATCACAGTTCCCTTGAGTTAGTATTGGATAAGATATACAATTATGAAAAACCAAAGCATAAAATGCCCTCCCTAGTAACATATGCCATAAATTATTTTTAAGGCTTTGTTATACATATTTATACAAATATAAAGTTTGAGGTCAATAGAATTGAAAATTGGAGTATATTAATAAAAAGACGTTTTATATATAAATGAATAAATAATACAAAACAGCAGTTGACTTCTTCTATTATCAGATATGATGCACAAACACATTGCATAAGCGATCATTACTAAATTAAATACTGTAAATTAGCGGAAAGAAATAAGGGAACATTTCAAAGTATAAAAAAATGATAATAATAGTCAAACAAATAATAAGTGAGTGTTCTTGACTTTTCTTATTATCAAGTTTCCACTGTCATTTGATTAACTTATTTTGAACATATGTAATCAAATGTTTATAGATGGATATTGGATTCTTAAAACGGTGTATGGAAAGGATTTGGGATCTGGGTTTTCTATAATCCTTATTACACGGGCAAAACGATGTCCGCCAGCTACTGAAGTAACGACTTTATTAATGAATAGGG